GATGATTGGTTTCTTCCCAAACTTGGAAGTTCAATCTGAGGGTTGAGGAGTGTGCAGAAAAGGAAACAGAGAGAGGGAAACAATACCAACAACAGAAAAAAAAAAAAAAAAACAAGAAACAGAGAAAAAGAAGAGAAAAACTTTTAAATAAATCTAAAAAAAAGAAAAATTAATATTCAAAAAATTTCAATAAAACTCAAAAATAAGAAAACCACGCGGCGAAATGGCTAGATCGCAGAAGCCATGGAGCTCTCTGTCTCTTGAAGAAGGGCTGTTCTGTCACCTTCTGTCTCTCCAGGCGAGTTTTCCATGCTGGAGGTCCAGTTTTCAGTGGGACATGGGGCCAAAGGGCCCTGTAAAATGCCTCACCTTAAAAAATTCTAAAAAGCAAAAATTTAAAAAGAGAGAGAGAGAGGACAGAGACAGAGGTAGAGAGAGACAAAGACTGATACAGAGACAGGAGACTTGAAAGGGGTCTTCCTACCATGAGAGTTTTGTATGCTGGAGGCCCAGTTATCAGTAGGACATCTTCCTTTCTCCCAAAATGGCTAGATCGCAGGAGCCATGGAGCTGTCTGTCTCTTGAAGAAGGGCTGTTCTCTCAGTCTGCTACTTCTATACTGGAGGGAGTATGCCAATTTGTGTTTAATTGTGAGAAGTCAATGTGAGAACTAACCACAGTATGTCTTTGCCACTGGGGGGCCCCAAACAAGCTATGGGTAAATTAGGAGACTCCTCCACTCTAGCCTAAGCAGCTTGCTCTGCAGTGAAATCGTTCATATTTAAGTGGTTAAAACAGTCTCTTCTCATATCAAGATAGGCATCATTGACTTATTCCTTATGGAGCCCTCTGGAGTCTTGGTAGTCTTTTCCACGCAGCAGTAGGAGGGTTTGTGCTCCAAGTGCACCTCTGGAAGCATCAGCACTCATGTCGCAAATGTCCAAAACAACCCCGTGGGTCCCCTTTAGGTTAGAATAGCCCCAGGTGCTCTGTGGCTGCTTCCCCAGTCTCCCTGCCTCCCTAGTTCACTCCCCCATCCAGGGTCATTCCTAACCGGGAAGACTCTCTGGACTCCCAGGCTGGTTTCCTTCTGTGGGCCTGGGCCCCACCCCTGCTCCACATGCAGGGTCTGTCTGCACCTCCTCACAGCTGCTCCCCACCTGGGAGGGCACCTGGCCATCTTGCTCATATTCCCTACTGCACGTCATGACGCATGGCTCTGCCCAATGTCTATCAGGCACTGGTCACTCTCAAAATTACCCAGTTAGTTTCTTGTTTATTCTGTGGCTCTCCATCCCAGAATGTAAGCTCCTCGGGCCATTGACCTCATGTGTCTGTGTGTGCATATTTTGTATATATTTTCTTTCCTATTTTGGTGTAGTAGTCTTTTAAAAATTGTAGTGTCCCATTTATACTGATAAGCTTTTTTAGGTTTCTTTTCAAAATACTTTTTGTTCCTATTTTACTGAAAAGCAAGTATGTCAAGTACATAGTCTGTGGGAAGCGCTTTGGGGCGGTTCTGTCTCTTTAATACTTTGGCATAAGACAAAAGTGGGTAAATCTTTGTTAACCCAACATATAAAGCACCAAATGATTTTGGAGGTGTTTTGTTATGTTCATTGGCTGGTTGATTGATGATCTAATCCCTGGTTCCTAATTTTGTGTACATTTTAGGGGAGCCCATTTAACTGAGATTTACTCTATGGATTCATTAGGTAGGGAAAAATGTTAATGATCATGGGAATGAAACTGACAATAGTAACTAACCTTTATTCCTGTTATGCCCACAGGCCTCTGGTCTGGATTGATGGTTTGCGTCTTCTTTCAAGGCCTTTTCTATTTGGTGTACATCTTCAAGACAAACTGGGAGAGAGTTGCAGAGCAGGTAACAGTCAGTGTGTTATCTTAGAATGTGGTTCTGCCTGATCCCACGGCATGGTAAGGAATCTCTAGGGGCAAAACGATAAAATGCCATTGGTACCATGACTCTGCAAAAATGAGATATCTAGTATCTGGGAGGGTGGGGGCTATGGAACAGAAATTTCTTCATGTTTTCCTTTTTAACATAGAGCTGATTTTATATCTACTAAGCAGGGCTCAACCTCAAGAGGAAAGAAAGAGAATTCACCCCAAAAATATTTCCTTCTGAGCATGGCAGCAGCACCTGCCGTCGAAGGGTGGGAGGCTAGGGCAGGAGGACTGAGATACAGCAAACCCTATCTAAAGTGTGTGTGTATTTTGTACATATTTTCTTTCCTGTTTTGGTGTAGTAGTCTTTAAAAAATTGTAGCGTCCCGTTTATACTGATAAGCTTCTTTAGGTTTCTTTTCCAAGTACTTTTTGTTCATAGTTTACTGAAAAGCACGTATGTCAAGTATATGTTCTGTGGGAAGCGCTTTGGGGCAGAACCACAGTGCTTAGATAGGAGGCTAGGATCTTGACCAACGTGAGCATCCGTAGATTTGCAAGTCCTTCTCGTCATTGGAGGCTGGAGATGAGATGGCTGGGTGAAGGATTCTTAATAATGACATATGAGTTAAGGTGCACAAAATGTCCCCCACCCCACCACAGAGTCTCTTCTACAGTTGCCCTCTCTACTTGTAAGTCTTTCCATCTTTCCATTTCTGCCATAGAGTGCAGGCATTCGGTATATATTGAACCTGGACATAGTGTTTGTCTTTCATAGCTTAGCTTATTTCACTTGATTTTAAATGTTCTAGATTTGTCCAATCTGTATTGAATGACAGGATCTCACTGCTCTTCATGACTGAGTAGTATTCCATTCTGTATATGTGCCACATTTTTAATCCCATCATCAGTTTTGGGAATTATACATCCAACTAGTGATTTTCTTACCTTTTTGTAAATCTCCAAGAGTGATTACTGAATCGTGTGGCAGTTCTATTTGTAAAATTTTCAGGAAACACCATATTGTTTCTAATCTACATTCCCTCTAGCAGCGCACAAGAGTTCCCTTTTCCCCACAATCTCATCAGCACTCGTCCTTTCTTTATTTGACCCTAGCCATTCTGACTGGGGTTAGGTGATACTTCTTATGGTTTTGATTTGCATTTCCTGTATCATGAGAGATGTTGAACATTTTTCATATGCCTTTTTTTTTTGTCATTCATATGTCTTTCTTTGAGAGTTGTCTCTTTAGAGCGATTGCTCATTTTGAAATTATTATTAGTTTTTCTGTAGGTAAGCTGCTTGAGTTCCCTATATATTCTGGTTTTCGATCCCTTATCGGAAGTATAGTTTATAAATATTTTCTCCCATTCTGTGGGTTTGTCTCCTTAATCTATATTATTTTCTTTGCCGTTCAGAAGCTTTTTAGCTTGATGTCATCTCACTTGTCTATTCTTGGGTTGTTGCCTATGCTTTGCCAGTCTTACTTAAGAAATCTTTGCCTACTCCAGTGTCTTCAGGTGTTTCCTCTGTGTTTGCCACAAGTAGTTTTGCAGCATGAGGCTTTACATTGAACTCTTTGATACATTTTGAGTTGATTTTTGTTAATAGTGAGAGATAGCTGTCTAGTTTCATTTTCTTTTTCTGCAGATAGATATCCAGTTTCCCCACCACCATCTGCTAAAACTTTCTTTTCCCCATTACATTGTCTTGTGGGGGCTAACAGGTGGCATAGCGATTAAGATGCTAGACTCCCACATTGCCAGCCATGGTTCAAGTCCCAGACCTAGTGGCTTGCTTTCTCACTTTCTTTCTCTTTTACTCTCTCTGGTCAAATGAAAATAATAATTATAAATTTATTTTTTTTAATAATTATTCCACCATGCCACCTGCTGGTCCCATAATAATAAATTTTTAAAAATTGTCTTGTACCCTTGTCAAAAATCAGTTGGCTGTATATTTTTAGATTAATTTCTGGATCCTGTATTCCATTGCTGTACTTTTCATTCATCTGTGTGTCTATTTCTTTTTTTGTTTTTGTTTTTGTTTTTGCCAGTACCATGCTGGGTTTTTTTGTTTGTTTGTTTGTTTGTTTTGGAGAGGTTTTTCCTATAGGGCACATGCGCTCGCCAGACAGAGAGAGACAGAGTGATAGAAAGCGAGAAATCACCCCCCAGTGGGGATGGCCACACTGCAATCCCTTCTCCTCCATTCTCCTCTTGGGATCTCAGGCATGCACACACATGTGCCCGGCGTGAGTTTAAGCCGCCGGGTCTGGGACTCGAACCGTGGTCGACTATGTGGGAGTCCAGCGACATAGCCATTACGCTAACTGCTGGTCCCATGCTGTTTGATTATCAAGTCTTTGTAATATATATTGAGGTTGGATAGTGAGATGACTCCAACATTATTATTTTGCCTTGGTGATACAGGGTCTTTCATGATTCAAGACAAATTTTATGATTGATTTTCTATTTCTGTGAAGAATGTCATTGGTCATTTTTTTAAAGAAGTATTTATTATTATTTTTTTAATTTGCTATAGGACGTGTGCATTCACCAGAGAGAAAGCAAGAAAGCAAACCACCAAGTCCAGAACTTGAACCATGGTTGGCCATATGGGAGTCCAGCGCCTTAACCACCACACCACCCGTCCCATCACTGATAATTTGAAAGAATTACATTGAATTTATAAATTACAGACACTCCTTGTTTAATGACTAATTCTCCATAAAGGGGAATCCCCTTTTTTAGTCTGTATAAGTCTCAGGAATCCCCTTTCTCAATCTTTGTCTCGACCTGCAGTCAATTAGCATTCACTACACAAAACATTCACAGTCATGCAAGACTACATATATCACTTATAAATTTGTACTATATTGTGCACCCATAGTAGTATTCAGGCTAAATAAAAACAATTATGCTAGATTGATATTATTGTGTCGTGGTGTGTCTTGTCACTTTCTGGTGCTTATCTCAAGTATGCTTTTTGTATGGCTAGAATTACATTAATCTAGTGTGGTTCTGCATGATATCTGTAGAAAAAAATACGTATCCTATGGTGGCATGACAAGCCACAAGACTTTCATCTCCTCATTTATTGACCAGTTTGCTTAACCACCTAGTTACAGGACTGGAACTTAGTCAGTAATTGAAGAGTGCCTGTATCAGCATTTTTCCCTCACATTTTATTGATTCACAAAATACTTTAAACTAAAAATATGGACAAAGCTAGAATCTCGTTACAAGTACACTGTAATTTTCCTCTGAAACCTTTTTTGAATTAATTAATTTACATTCATTCGCTGCACATCGTCACGGCATACAAAATGTGATTTCCCATCCAGACTATACTGCGTAGTGGCTTAATCATACTTGTTATCATTAATAATTTTCCATTTCTAGTTTCATATATATATATTTTTTTTTTTAACCCCTATTTCTGACACTGTGCCATTTCCCACCCGCCTCCCACAGTATCTCAGGTGTCTACAGTTGTTCTCCATTCTTTTCCTCCCACATCTTATTGATTCACAAAATTTCTTAAATAATCTAAATACTTTCAATAGCAAGCTCAGCTGGTATGTACATATCAGTGAAACATGTCTGACTTCAGGCTTGAAACTCTGAGTAGAATGAATATACTATAAGGTAGCACCTCGCTGATGCTATATAGCTTACTATGTCCATTAAATAGGTATTTTTAATTTTTTTTTAATTTCAAGAAAAAGCAACTTTAACTTTAGTAAATCAAAGAAATGCTAAGGAGCTTTGCTTAAAACTTAAAACCAGAAAACACGTTAGGATTCTGTTCAAATAGTAGGTACATGAACCTATCGTCAGCTCAAGACAGGACAAAAATCCTTAAAATCGGAAAACAAAGCCTAGAAAAAAATCAACAATGTTTTAGTCAAAAGTCATAAAATGCTATTTCACCAGTTCAGTCTCATCTACCTAATCTATCTTGGGACCAACAGTTAGTGTAATGGCTATGTTGCTGGACTCTCACATAGCCGACCGTGGTTCGAGTCCCAGACCCGGAAGTTTAAACTCAGGCCGGGCACGTGTGCGTGCATGCCCAAGATCCCAAGAGGAGAATGGAGGAGAAGTGATTGCGGCGTGGCCATCCCCCCTTGGGGAGTGATTTCTCACTTTTTGTCTCTCTGTCTCTCTCTGTCTGGCGAGCGCATGCACCCTGTAGCAAAAACCTCTCA